CCTCTGTTGCTTCCATAAGCCTTTTGGTCTGGAACTGCTCCAAGCTGATAGTCTTCACTTCTACATATGGATACTCAGAACTCCGCCTCAGCAAGTGTGCACCACTATGTCAGACGTGGTGAGATGTCTCAGTTTTCTGTTTTCTAACTATTAGGAGGCTAAGACAGGAACTTTATGATAGTCAAGTGCACATTTTGGATGTACAAAACCTAAGTCATCTATTGTGTGATAATATCTCTGAAATTGGAGGGAGGATTGAGTCCTCAATGGCAGCATGTGATAACTGACCTATGGAAATTTGCATGATATCTTAGAAGAGTATAGGATGCTTATAACCAACTATCAATAAAATAAAGGGGAGAATATCCTAAATAGTCTGTAAGCATTTTCGTGTGTATGTATGTGTGTGGCGCATATGTGTGAGTTTTGTTTACATGTGACACACATATGAGGGTGCACATATATTTATATATGTATATATATATGTATGTATACACATACATATATATATACATATGTATGTATACATATACGTGTGTGTGTGTGTGTGTGTGTGTGTAGGCTCAATGGTGACATCATTGTCTTCCTCAGTCATTCTTTCCATTGTATATTGAAGCCAGCCTTGTGTAGAACCTGAAGTTTTTCTTCTCTGCCTTCTCTGCCAGTTTTGGCTCATTAGCTTTTTCCAGCGATTTCCTGTCTCTGCCCACCTTGCAGTAGTTTTACAGACTACAGTGGGCTTCCACCCTGTTGGCTTTTATAGGGTCCTAGAGATCAGTATTTCAGCTTTCCGACTTACAGGGCTGGCCCCAGATCCTCTGAGCTATCTCCCTAGCACAAACATTTTTATTTATTTATTTATTTATTTATTCACAGAATTTTGTTTATTGCCTTGCTTGTTCTTTGACTATTTGTGTTTGTTGGGTTTTTTTTTATAATTTATTTTTCTCAAATCGTAATTCATTCACATAGGGGTTATAAACACAGAAAGGCAGGATATGGGGAAGGGAATGACACTGGGGTGTGGGTGTTCAGGGGGAATACAGATATCTTCAGAACAGGGTATCGGCTGGGTGGAGGTTCAGGGGACAGGTCACTATGACTCTGCCTATGACTTGCTTGTCCTTATTGAAGTTGGCATTGTCTGCCAAGGCTACCTATTTGCAAGGTCTATGACTACTCAGGCTTGTAACTTTCCATAAAAGCTGCCTGTTTACATTAGCTTATAGCCATCTGTTTCAATGTTTTTCCACTGAGACCCAAGACTTGGTGATAGTATACGTGTATGACAGGCCTATTGCTGATTTTAGGCCTATGGCTGATTTTAGGCCTACAATGTGTAAGCAGGGCTGCCCCTGACATCTCCTCCCTTCTCAAAGTATAGAAGGGCTGTGGCAATTCTAAACTTGCAAAGGTGGGGATAGAGGCCTGACCTCCAGTATTTGAAGGGGACCTTGTAATGGCTCCAGTCCCCCTGTCGTTGTCCAGTGAGGCATGAGGGCCATACCCATCCCCATGTCTTTTTCCTGGAGTGGGGACACTTTTGACATCAACCCTTATGCAGTCAGGCTTGTCCCTCAGGGAACCCAGATAGATATTTTTATCTTTTATTTATATTCCCTTGCAGTGCTTAGCCTTGCAGCCTAAGCAAGAATTCAGATTGCCTGTCAGAGGGGGTTCTGGGTAACCCCACTCTGCTTGGTCTAGGGGCAGAAGTCCCCCCTTTTAGATTGGGTGGAGATGGGTTTTGGAAACACCCTGTATAAAGTAACAACCTCATCTTGAGTCTCGTGATCCTCCATAGCTAACTTATGATAATGTATCTGAGTAGGTTTTGCTACCAAATTATTTATCTGTTGTATCACAGAGTTAGTCCGCCTATTTGAGGGCCAGGGACCAGCAGAAAAAAGCAAAAAGAACCCAAATAATGGTCCCAAGATGTGAGGAAATAGGGTTGACAACCTTGGAGAGGCTGAAAACCAATTCTTGTACCAGCACTCATCTGTATCTTTCTCTCTCTGATTTTTCTTAGGGCCTTCACTGACCTATTTCATGCTCTCTTTAACCCTCCTTGTCTTGTCTATGTAAAGGCAACCTTCTTCTTTAAGGGCTGTACACAGTAAAGAGCTGTACACAGGCTTTTCTATTGTAATAGAGTAAATCAAGTCCAATAAGGATCTTTGAGGTTTTAGGAGGTCTCTTCAGACAGTGAAACGAGGGATTTCTTCAGATTAGTGATGTCAATCTCTAGCTGTTTGATGTTCTTGTCAGTGGCTCTTCAAAGGTCTGAGTAGTATAAGTTCGGAGGCCAGCATCTGGATTAGAACTTCTAACAGCAGACATCACGGGTGATTCATTTTTACCTGGGATGCTGCCTGAGTTCAAGCTCCTGGGAGGCCCTCTTTCTCTTGGTTTTCTGGGGTTGGGTACAGAGCTGCTGCCAGTGACCTACTCTATGCTTGGGCCCAGACCGAAAGTCTTTTTTTTTTTTTTAAAGATGAGATCTGCTATTGTTGAGGCTGTCCTTGAACTAATCTACTCAAGCAATCCTCCTGCTTCAGCCTCCCAAGTAGCTGGCACCACAGGCACAGGCCACCACACTGGCCATAAACAAATGTTCATGTCTAGATTTTATTCTGAAAAACAACAAAAGTTGCAATGATAGTACAATAAAGTCTGTGTGCTGCTCACCTAGTGTGTCTTCTCCTTGTTGGGCCCTTCTCTGCATGAGTGTCTTTCTACACTCACTTTAGAGTACATGTTACAGATACTTACTTTCACTTCAATTATTTGTTTATTTAAGAGTAGTTTGTCATGTCTGTTAACGCCAAACCTCAAGTGCCAACATCAACACGTTATCTTCGGAACCATATCCAGGGAATAACACTCATGTAGTGTACAGTATGTCTGCATGCAAATTTTTCCAATACTGTCAGTAATATCTTTTTCAGCAATTATTTTGGATCCACCATACACTGAGTCTTTTTAACTGCCTATATTTCATGCATCTCTTGTATCGTTTTCTCGGTGATTGTTTTATTCATTGGAAGTGCTAGGACTGGCCTGAGGTGCTTTGTCTTACATTTGAAAACCCGTGATCAGAGGCACATTGTCCCCTGGTCAGTTACATAGGTGGCCTGTTCCAGGCCTATATGCTTTATTCTAACTCCCTTGCTCAGAGTCTTTTGATCTAGGGTTCCCCTTTTCTGCCTCCTAGGAACTGGACCAGATTGTTGTGTCCAGTTAGCCTGCAGTGTCCTTGGCACTAAAGTAACACTCATTGATATAGTTTGACTATGAAATGTCCCCCACAGGGAAGTGTTGAAACCTGGGTCCCAGCTGGTGGCCCTATTTTGACAGGTGATGGTAATGTCCTAGTCTCTGTGTATGAATCCATGGGCACACACACACACACACACACACACACAAAGAGAGAGAGAGAGAGAGAGAGAGAGAGAGAGAACCATGTGTCCATAGAATCCTGGGCATGCTTTAGGTCCACTTTGAACCTTAGTTTATTCAACCTGGGGCCTTACAGAAGGAATTAAATAGGTCACTGGCTTATGCATGCATACAAAGTAGTGCCTGTGGTGTTTTATGGAAGTCTTGGAAGGATGGAAGGATGTTTGCATTCTTGGACTGTAGGACTCAGTTTGACCCTAAACTCTGTCTCCTTGCCGTGTGTGTGTGTGTGTGTGTGTGTGTGTGTGTATCATGTGTGTTACTGAAGATCAAACTCAAGGTCTGACACATGCTAGCAAGCATTGCACCACTGAGCGGCATCATCATCCTTTGTGGGAGGGGGAGCTCAAGGTAGAAAAGTTCTTGTTAAGTTGCCTACACTGGCAAACCTCTGCCTCCTTTGTAGTTGAGGTGGCACACATGTGTCACTAAACCTGGTGCCTGACCCAGCAGCGCAGCTTCTACAGGCCTGGCTCAGTGGGGAAGCTGCTGTTTCCATCCTGGCTTTCCTGGTGGTAAGTCTAGTCCCTGGGAAGCTCTGCTCCCTGGAAGGATCTCCCTGGTGGCAGGTCCCAAAGGGCAAGCCCATTGCCATGACCAGGAAGAGTGGATAATCCATCCTGAAGCTACCCCGGGATTAGTACTCATTGGCTGGGTCAGTACCCACTGACAGTACCTCTCTTGCTTTGCTCCACACCTCCCCCAGTCTTCCGCAGGCCCTTGAAGTGGAAGGATGTGGGGCTTCTGCTTCTCCTCTCTGCCTCCTCTCCCTCCTCCTCTTCCCACTCTCACTCCTCTTCCTCTCCTCTTCCCACTTCCAAGAACCACTTTTAACAAAGGCCTACTTGACTGCTTCTTTTTTTCAGAGCCCCCATCCGGCCACACACAAAGGAACCCCAAATAAAACGCACAAAATGACTGTTGATGTTCACCATTAGGCATTGGGTGTCAAACTTCAGCCTGATTTGGTAAACAACCCGGGAAGGATGGGACCATTGCCTTGCAACAGAGCAACAATTGGAAGACTCAGAGGCACGTGGAGGTTACAGACATTCCAGGCTCTCACCTAGAAAGTTTAACTCTTCTGTGTGAATCCTTTAACTTTCCAGGGATTCTCACCCAGCCCCCATCTTCTTCGTCAAGTTCAAGGCAGCAGTGGAAAGTTGTTTCTCTCTCAGCTGCTGAGGCTCCGTGGGAGTGTGTTTGTAGATGAACCCAGTCCTTAAGTGCCTGGATCTCTCTTAGGAATAACCGAGTTGGGAACAAGGAGATCTAAAGGCCTCCGGGAAATCATAACGTCTTCCTGGACGCCTTAGCGCTGTACGTCGTGAATCTCCAGGGTCACCTCAGTTTTCTCATCTGAGACGTGGGCGTGGTGAAAGGGGACACCATGGGCTGGCCGAGGATGGAGAGGCCGCTCCCCCAGCTCGGCACAGACCCAGGGACCCAGCAGCGCTGGCCCGAACTGTGGCTGGAGGCCGAGGGGCGGGCCGGGCCCGGCGGCGGCGGCGCTCTCCCGGGTCACAGCGCTGGGCGGCGGCGGGAAGATGCGGCTGCGGCTCCTAGCGCTGGCGGCGGCCGTGCTGCTGGGTCCGGCCCCGGGTAAGCGCGGCGCGGCGGGCGGCTGCGCGGGAGGCCGGGGCTCGAGTGGGAGGGGAGGCCAGGGCTGCGTGGGGTCCTGGAGACGAACTCCTACCTCGCGGTCCTAGCGGCGCCGACTCATGTCTCCTCGGTTCCCTGGTCCTGCCGGCATCCCGCGGTGGGGTCCCGCTCTCGGGACAGCTCCTGGTCTCTTCGGAGCCGCAGGCCGCGGAGCTCAGGGCGAAGCCAGCCTGATCAGAGCTCCAATTCGGCGGGCTTCTTTCTGTCTTCCGTAGTAGTCGGGACCCGCAGCTGCTGCCAGCACCAACTTCCCTTTAACTATCTTTGGAGCCGCTTCGAAAATGAGGTGGGAGCCACCGGATCTTCCTAGCCCGCTGGGCACTGAGGACTTATTAGTGAGTCCTCTGAGATGGTCAGATCTGGTTAGACAGGGTGTCCTCGGCTTCATCCACTAGGGTCCTTTCCCACAAACACACTTCTTTGGAGACCACCTCTTTTGGCTTGCGCGAAGTTTTATGGCTCCCACTTACAGCCGCTGAAGAACTTTCTCCTCTTGGTTCCCAGCAATAGATATATTAGTGACTCTTCCTTCCCAGGTGACAGGTGTGCACTATCTCATTTAATCACAATGGTGTTTCAAAGTAAGAACATCAAGTATTTATCGATCCAAATACTGCGTAAAACATTGGCTCAGTTTATCAGCCTACCAACCTCTAAGGGCAGTGCAGTTTTATCCCCATTTTAAAAACGAAGAAATAGAGGTATAGATATGAAAAGGGGACCCCTTTAGATTCCATCCTGGATGTACCCAGGGTCACCCTGTAGCTCCTCTTTGTCATCCCTCACCTGGGGCTGTCATTCACTCTCTGAAACTCCGCCTCCATGACTCTCCATCTGCAAGGGAAAGCCCAACATACTAATACTTAACGTATAAACCCACACTCAAGGCCTGCCCAGTCTTTTGCCTTCATTTAAGGGTAGGATGGGAGCTTATTGGTCCCCCAATCCCGCCATTCATCTCACAGAAAAGAAAACTATCAGTCTAAGTACTTACTAAAAGCCAGGCTGTGGTTACCAGTCGTCTTTGAAGTCAGATCTCCTAGGTTTGAATTTCATCTCTGCTATGTGCTGTGTGAACTTGAACAAGTTGTTGAGCTCCTCTGGGCCTCAGTCTCAGCTGTAAAATGAGGATTAGCAGCCAATGAGGATAAATTGAGGGAATACATCTAATTGTTTTAGAACTGCTCTTGGCCTGAAGTTCATTTGAGCATGTGTCTACCTCTGTCACTGGACAAGGCAGTGTTTGCCCTGGACTGGAGGTAGTTTTAGGTGATGGCTCACAGTGAGCAACTTGTGGGCTAGGTCTGGAGGCCTCAGTGCTTACGGCTCCTCCTCAGCAGCCCCTGGTGCTGCAAAGCAGTGCACTTCAGAAATTTGCTATCTTGAACCAGACACCACTTTGCTGTCACTTAGAAGTCCCTGGATCCTGGAGATGAATGGAGGATGTCTAGATAGAGGGGAAGGCAGGCCATAGTGCCACGCTCACCTTCATGGCCTGTTCAGAGCCGGAGCCATGGCCATTTCTGCATCCTGAGAGAAAGAAGCCTTTACTCCCTGAAGCTGGGGCTGTTGCTTCAGGAGAAGACCATGAACTCTGGGGCTCCATGGTTATCCTCTCAGAGAGCTGTCTATGTTCATCCTTTTCATGGCTTTACCACATGCCAAAGCAGGGGTTAGACTGTGAATCTCCTCCCCAGGAGCCAGAGGTTCATGCAGAAACACAAATAGCAGTGTAACTTGTGAGACCTGTGTGAAATGAAAATTTAGGGGCTATTCTTCAAAATATATTAAACTTTCAAGCAATGATCAGTAAAGGCTAACGCCAGTGGACATCCCAGGGGCCATCTGTGTGCCTGCAGCTCTTGCCTGCAGCTCTTATATGCATGGACCCCACACCGATCCAGGGCAGTGTGGGGTCTCTTCCTGTTGCTCTTTCCCACAGTTCACACATACAGACTTACAGCTTACCACAGCCCTGTACTTGCTCTAGCCATGAAACAGATCACTTTCTATTCACCATCTAGGTGAAGAAGCCCAGGCTCTGAGTGCCCCATTCCTAACAGAAGCAGATTTCTAGCGAGGGCATCACAGGACACTAACCCCAGGCTCTCTAACCAGCCCCTTGACCCTTCATTTCTGTGTTCACTGCTTCTTCTCTGGCAGCTAGACAGTCCTGAGACCATGTGACTCCCAGTACTCAGTCCTCAAGGGATGCCTGGGGCTTTGGAGCATCAGAGCACATGCTTGTAGCAGGAATAGAATCATGGCTACAGGAAGCTTGTCTTTCCGTTTGGATCAGTGCCATCCATTTCTGTATTGTCACCTTTCTTGTTTAAGAACTGGCCTTTGACTGGGGCGAGGAGTCCTCTCCAGAGGACTGTGTACAGGAAGGGGTTTCAGTCTGGGCCACAGTGGAATGTAGTTCACATAGGGATACCCATCTTTCCAATTCTAGCCTGCACCTGGCTCTTCCTGCTATGGGGACTCTGCATAGTGAGACCCTCTCTCTTGGAGGCCATTCTTGCCTGCTGAAATTTGACTTTACTAATTCCAAGATAGCTTTCAGCTCATGACTAGATTCTTAGGTCTCTGTAACTCCAAGACAAGGATCAGGGTTGTTTCAGGACTGTCTTTCTTTCTTGCTTGCTTTTTGTTTGTTTTTGTTCCAGGGTTTTCTTAAATCCTTCATGTTCTCTCCGTAGCTGGTGACTTTGTGGTTGTATTCTCCCTGCTTGTCATGATCAGCAGCTGCCTCACGCCCTGGCCTCTGAGCTCCGTAAGGTCAACGGAGGCAGTGGACACAAAAGGGAAACAGAAACCCCGAGTGTGGAGGTGTGGTGGACCCCACCCCTCCCCTTAGCTCTTTGCAGTCTACGCTCAGAAGGCAAACACTTGTCTTCTGCCTCAGACTATTATGACCATTTCTTACGTCAGAGAGTGAGGGTCAGCCTTGCCTTGTGGCTACATTATGTCAGCTGGAGGAAGCCGGATGAGTGACATCTGCCTTGCTAAGCCAGCATGTATGAAGTGTACCTTTCTGTCCACAGGTCGTGCGTGCTTGTCTGGCCTGTGTAGCCGCTTTCTATTGTCCTGCCTCCTATTGCTTACCCTGCCCGCTTCCTGCTGAGCCACCAGGGACACAATGATACAATGGGAAAGAATGGAGCTTCTCTCCACAAGTATTGAAATAAGCACCTTTAACTTGGGCCTATGCCTGTCAGGTCCCCTACCTGCACTTTCTCCCTTCCTGGCTGGACTTGAGCTACAGCTGTCTGCACATAAACCAAGCCTCTATATGTCTACACTTGGCATAAGGAACCTTCCACTCCAGATGCTGCTGCCCATGGCACCTGACTTTGACAGAGGAGTCCACTTCTGAGAGCCTGTAACTCTCAGCAAAGCTTTTCTGACAAGAGTCTGGGGTGCTTAGCCATTCCAGCGTCAATGTCTACACACCTTTGTGTGTGTGTGCGTGTGTGTGTGTGTGTGTGTGTGTGTGTCAGGTGAAAGGTTGAAGTGACCTTTCATCAAGAGGGCTGTATGCATTTGCCTGCTGCCATACCAAGTGGCTTTAACAACAAACTTGTATTGATTAACAAAGGGTGAAATCTGAGATCAAGGTGACAGGGGGGTCTGGTTGTCCTTAGGTCTCTCAGCTTGGCTGGTATGGTATCTTTTCCTTGCTTGTACAGTCTTCGTCTGCAGGAGTCTGTGTTCTAATCTCTTCTTAAATGGCCATCAATCACATTGCTTCATATTGTCACTGGGTCTACCTTAAGGATTTCACTTAACTTAGTCTTTACCTCCAAATACACCCACATTTGGAGGGACTAGGGGTTAGAGCTTTAAAGAAGGAATAGCCTAAGGTGCACAATTCAACCATCAATGAATACCCTTGCACTCCTCTGGGAGACACTGATGTTTGGAGCATCTGTAGGAAAATGGATGGAAGGCAGAAGGGTACACTGCTGGAGAGAGAACATCCTAGATGACATCCCCCCCCCAGTTCCTTGGAGATAGAGCTTTGAGCCTGAGCCACAGTAGGACAGGAGGGGGAGGGGTACTAGTTTGCCTCTAGGATGGAATCTGGCCTCCCATGGGGACTGGAACACTTGGCACATTCTCTAGGTTTCAGTCACTATAAATAATCCCCTCTTCATGTGGAGTTACCAGGAGGAGTCTGGAGCGCAGGGTTGGGTTTGGTATCATCCCACCCATGTTGTTTCCATTTCCTCTCTTTCCAGCCCCTCCGGCTCCAGTGGGGAGCCTTTGGGGGTGGGTCCGGCTGGCCCTGGATTCTGTAAACCAGCTGCAGTGTTTTGGTGCTCTCGCTTCTGTCCAGTTCTCAGTGGCTAATGGAATGGAGGTCAGCCAGGGGTCCCAGCTGCCTTCTTATTCATCAGAGAACTCCCACACGAGGCTATCTGCACCTCAGATGAGCCTCAGGCATCAGGAGGAAGTGCTGTCCACAGGGCCAGGTGCCAGCCAGGTGGGCGAGATGCGGAAGATGTGGGCCACTTTTGCTTCATTGAGGTTGACTTCTGACAGCAACTATACTGCTCCTGGGGAAAGCGAGAGAATCCCAGAGGACATCCCAGAGAGCTTTGACTTAACCAAATCAGTGCAGAGTGCCTTTTGTCATGTAAAGCGGCACTCAAGGTCTGCGGGCAGGACTTCTCAGAGGCCTATTGACCTGTATTTCTCCTGTATCTCCTGGCCTGGCTCTGTCCCTCATGACTGGAAAGAGGATTGGGGACTTCACACAGAGCACAGCATCCAGTAGCCTTTCTCCTGGAGTCCACTCCATCTATTATTACATCAGCCAAAGCCCGGCATGGTGCTGGGTGCTGAGGAATGCTCCCCAATACATATTGTCCTAACCCCCTTGAGAATATTACCTCACACAGCAAATGGGACTGATGGATACAACTGAGTTAAAGTTCTTACATTATTCTGGAGGGTCCTGAGTTTAGCATCTGGTTTCTAAGGAGGTCACAGGAAAGAAGGCCAGTCCTTAAAACACAATATTTCAAATGCCAAGTTATTTAAAATAACCAAGAACATAACTGCTCTGGTCTGAACGAGGCTTATCCCCTCAGAAACTGAGGTTGGAATTTGGTCTCCATTTCGAGATAGTGAGAGTTGAGGCTCTTAAGAAGTGGTTAGGACTCTGTCCTCATGAATGGATGAATCCGTTCATTCAATCAGTGACTGTTATTATGACGATGGATATTTTGCGAAAGCATTTGACTAGGTCTCTAAAGCACCTCTATCTTCACATGTGATGTCCTGTGCTAGCCTGGGATGTCTGCAGAAAGCTCTGGGTTAGAATGGCTCTGAGGACAACTGCATGTGACATGGCTCCTCCCATGAGCTTCAGGTGGCCTGGCTGTGCCATATCACCCATGGTTTACCATGGGAAGAGGTTCATGGGAAATGAACCAGTGTTTAGCTTCTCTAGGTTCAGCTGGTCTGGTATCTCCAGTGAAGCTCAGGAATAGAACTATAGGTAGGTGTGGGTTTTCCTAGATTAGTTTACAATGAGAAATCAAAGGACAGGTTGTAGTGGAAGGCCTGGAATTCTGAATCATCTTTTAGGGTACTGGGAGAACCCTATATCCTTCCTGGTTCCGGAGACTCACTCCTTCCTTCCTTCCTTCCTTCCTTCCTTCCTTCCTTCCTTCCTTCCTTCCTTCCCTCCTTTTTTTTTTAACTTTAGCTTGCTTGTGTGCTTCAGTTCAGACCATAGATCCTGAGTGCAAAGAAGCCACTGAGAATCCCGTGTCACTCCAGCACACTAGCATTAGGGTAACCCTCTGATTGGCCATTACTGCCCAGAACTGGACCTCCAACACCAAGAAAGTGAGCAGGGAGGGAGACAGACAGATTAAGTCTCCTAGTTGACAAGCCATTGAAGCTGCATCTCAGACTTGCCTCTGACCCACAGCCTGGACAACAGGGATAAAAGCACAACTTGGGGACGTTAGTGGAGAAGATGAGGCATAAGCTGAGTTTTCAAGATATTCTCCAAGTCGATTCATATGTATAATTTGAATTTTTGTGGCACATTAAAACGTTTCTGAGAACATGTCTGTTCAGATGGCCAGTGTTTGTAACACTGTATGAATGAGACCATCATATATAGGAATGTGGGAGCCAGGAAGCCCGTAGAAGGGATTCTCAGTGGCTTCTTTGGACTCAGGATCTGTGGTCTGAACTGAAGCACACAGACAAGCTAAAGTCAAAAAGATGAAGGAAGGAAGGAGCCTCTGAAACCCGGAGGGACATGGGGCTCTCCCAATACCCCAAAAGATGCTCCAGAATCCCAAGCCTCTCCTGGTTCTCGTGAGGCTGAGGAGTGTGTAGAAGGTGCTAAGAGCGTTGCCTCTCTGGCCCTGGAGAGCATCCAGATGCCAACAGCGTGGGGCTTGTCCCTGGCTTTTGGCAGTGGCCTGGCTGCATGAACCCAGGCTGTGGCCTTCATTCACCTTTCCCCCTTCCATTGCAGAGGTATGTGGTGCTCTCAATGTCACGGTGTCCCCAGGGCCTGTGGTGGACTACTTTGAAGGGGAAAATGCCACACTCCTCTGCCACATCTCTCAGAAGAGACGAAAGGACAGCTTACTGGCCGTGCGCTGGTTCTTCGCCCCCAATGGCTCTCAGGAGGCCTTGATGGTGAAGATGACGAAACTCCGGGTGATTCAGTACTATGGGAACTTCAGCCGGATTGCCAACCAACAGAGGCTACGCCTGCTAGAGGAACGCCGAGGGGTGCTGTACAGGCTTTCCGTCCTGACGCTCCGGCCCGCGGATCAAGGGCAGTATGTCTGCAAAGTGCAAGAAATCAGCAAACACCGGAACAAGTGGACAGCCTGGTCCAATGGTTCCTCGGCCACAGAAATGAGAGGTAAGAACGCTGCTGGCCTCTCTGAGGAGGTGCAGTGTGTGGTAGATCAGGGGTTCCAGTTTTTTGTCAGTATGTAAATGCTGGTCGCCTCATTGGTGGTGTATAGTACATGTCTGTGGGCCACAGGTCTGTGAGTTGTTACGAGGATGAGGACAGATCTTGGACACTGTGGCTGATATAGAAAGTAGATACGGAAGCAAGGACAGTGGAGTGAGTGACTACCTCCATATTAGTCACGTCCTGTCTGAAATGTTGAACTTTGTATGCTGTCAGGTAAAGAAAGCTGGCCCCTACTTACTGTGGCCAGAGGCCTGTGAGAGTAGGGCCTGGGCCGCGGTTACTGTGGACTTGGACTGTGACTTTGTGGTTAAAAAGAGAATGAGAGAGATGGGAGGAGGGAACTGTATGGGACATAGGTCACTTAGTCAGGGAAGTATATAAGTTACAGAGAGTAATGGTCTTTGCTACTTTTTTTTTGGTGCTGTGACCAAATACCAGACAGAAATCATCTAAGGGAGGAAAGATTTATTACGGTTTATTGTTTTGCTCTTCAGGATGCAGCCGCTTGGCCCCATGCAGCAGGTCAGATTGTCATGGAAGAGGGAGGGATGTGGTGGTGGAGGGCAGCTGTTCACATCACAGCCAACACAAAGCCAAGAGCACGATAGGAAGAGGCCAGGGATAGTATACCCCAGGAACCCATCTCCAGGGACCCACTTTCTCCAGATAGGTTCTACTGCTCACAGTGTCTACTAGCTCCTCAGTTAACACCAGTAACTTGAGACCAAGCTTTGAGCACCTGGAAGACATTTTAGACTCAAAGGGCACTGATGCTGAAAAGCAATCGGGGTCTTTGGCCCATGTGGAAGTGTTTAAGTGTGTAAGAAGCTTCCAGAAGCAGGGTCCTTCCTTCTCACAGAGGCTAGAAGATGACGAGTCTTCAGAAATGATCAGGAAGAGAGTGATCTTTGGACACCTTGGATTTTCCCAGATGCACTCTGTATGGCAAGTGTGTCATTGCAGGCGCATGACCACGAACTGTTAGTTACTGTGTCTGTTCAACTGTCGCCAGGCCAAGGTTGAGCCTCGTTGAGAAAGTCCCCGAGGAACTAGACTAGACTGCTAGGAGGCAGGACTTTGACAGTTCCCAGTCCGTTGTTGTTCAGAGCTGTGTCTCTGTGATCACCTTAACTAGGGGTGCCTGGTATCCAAAGCCAAGTGTGTGGTGGGAGAGCTGGATATACACTTCCAGCCTATAAATGGCGCTGCTTTGTGTTTCTGATCTGCTGCCCAACTTGGTTCTCAGCTAACCGCGAAGTTTGTGAGGAAGGGGAAAGCTCCCGGGTAGCCCTCCCTTCCTACAGGCAGATAGATGATGAGTTTGCATTTCCCAAATATCTTGGCTACCAAACACCATGTGGGAAGGTTGTCATGTTTATCACTAAGACACCTCTGGCAATGTTTAGGTGCTCAAGTTATGTCTTTAAGAGTATCAAACTTGGGTTTGATTCCACACATGGTTATGAGATTCATAGAGTAAAGCTGTTTGTTTAAAATATGAAAGATATACTAATCTTATCACACACAATATATAACACTAAAGCCTTAAAGCTGTATTGTTTTGGTAAGCTTTTTAAAAGGTGACTTGTTTTCCATTGTGAAATGATTCTTACAGTTCTGTGTACTAGGGACATGTTGAAGGGAGGTAATCAATGTGGGGGGGTCTTTGAAGCAGCCACTTGTCTTTGGAGTTGGTGTTATGCTTTGTAGTGTGATATATTTGCAAAAATGTTGTGCACTTCCCCCCCCCTTAAGCAAATTAATTCAAGAAAACAAATGACTGCTAGTATAAATATGTATTTTGGCATAGAAAACCAAACCAAAAAAGCAGTGGCTGAGGAGACAAACAGCACAGATGATCACTTGGTCCTACAACATACGGCCCTTTCTTTAAGAGAGTATGCATGTGCCCATGCACGTGTACGTGCAAATATGTCTATGTGTATAGTATATGCTGGAGTCATGCACTAAATCTCTTGGCAGTGGCAAATGCTATCAATTAGCGTATGTAAAAAGGTCTACTGCCTTTAAGTAAGCAATCATTAGCTTATTATTTCATGCGAATATACTTTAAGTGAGTGAAGCTGTTCCTTCCAGAACATTTATTTGAGAACTTGCTTCGAACACCCAAAGTAGCTTGCAAGGCTTCACCAGAAATAAGGGTCTTCCTTCTTCATCTCCACATTCCCTTCCTTCTCCTTCCTTCTCTGCTCCTTCCCCTTCTCTCCAGCACCCTTCCCTTTGCTCATCATCTTTTATATTTCTTTTCTTTTTTTTTCTTTTTTATAGCTGAGTAATATTCCATTCTGTGGGGGTACCACATTTCCATTATCCATTTGTCAGCTGATGGACATGTAGGTCAGTTCTATTTCATTCCTAGTGTGAATAAATAGGGCAGCCATGAACATAGCCGAGTAAGGGTAGTGTCTTTCTAGTATCATATGAAGACCTCTAGGTACATTCGAGGAGTGGTAGAGATAGGTCCTATGGCGGATCTCTTTCTAGTTTCTTGAGTAACCTCTCTACTGATTTCCAAAGTGGCTGCACCCCTTTACACTTCCACCAAAACTGTATAAGCATCCCCCTCCCCCCATATCCACGATGGCATCTGTTGTCATTTGGGGTCCTGGTGGCCATTCTGATTGAGGTGTGATGGAGGCTTTAATGTGGTTTTACTTTGCACTTTTTGATGCCTAAGGATCTTGGGTGCTCAAGAGTGTTTACTAGTTGTTTGTGTTCTTCTTCTGAGAACTTTCTGTACAGTTCCATAGTCCATTCTTTTTCCAGTTGTATTGTTTCCTTGGTGTTTAGTTCTTTGAGTTCTTTGTGTAGTCCAGACACTAATCCTCTGTATAGCTGCAGAGTTTCTTCCATTGTGCAGGCTGTCTCTTCAAGAAGTTGCCTCTTTCTTGGGCTGGCAGAGGCCCTTAGTTTCCTGAGGTTCCATTTGTCAATTGTTGGTCTTAGTTCCTGCACAGAATCCTCCTGTTCACAAGGTCCTTACCTATGCATATTCCCTGAGTATTTCTCTAACAGGTTTGGGGTATCAGGTTATACAATGAGTCCCTTTATCCATTTGGAGGTGAGTTTTGTACAGGGCAAGTGGTAAGGATATAGCCACCTCTTCTGTCTGTTATAGTCCTGGTTTGTCAGTACTATTTGCTGAAGGCTCTGTCGCTCTGTCTTTTTCCCAGTTTTTTTTTTTTTTTTTTTTTTTTTTTTTTTTTAGTGTCTTTGTCAAGATCAGGTAGCTGTAGTCCCATGGGGTATATTTCACTCCTCTATTCAATTTCATGGATCTGTGTGTCTGTTTTGTCCCAGCACCATGCTGTTTTTATTGCTAATGCTCTGCCATATGACTTGAAGTCAGACATGGTGACACCCCTTTTTGCCCCGGCCTGCGAGGATTTGATGAGACCCCAGGGAAGGGGGTGAAAGAATGAAGGGACAAGAGACACAAAGAATGTAAGCAAGTCTGATCAAGCTCTGAAACTTTAATTTGGGGGGCAGGTTATAAAGACACAGCAAAATGGGAAGTTTGGGTGAGGGTCATTGTTTAGGGCTATCTCACTACTGAATCATAAGACCATCCCACTGTCATAACCTTATTGCCCTAGATCATCCCACTGTCATAACCGGCTCCCAGGAAATGCCAGACGTTCTTTAAGTTCCTGGGACCTGAGACCCGAGACCGTCCTTTCTTAACCTTGTATTAACTAGGTTTCCCAGAACAGTAGTTAATTTCTTGGGTCTGGCTCCTGGCACCTTTTGTTATGCATTGTTCTTTGGTGTTTCCACATATGTTTTGAGATTGTTTTTCCTACATCTGTGAAGAAACGATCTGATATTTTGATAGGAATTGCATTGATTCTAATCTATAGATTGCTTTTGGTACTGCCTTAGTTAGTGTTCTATTGCTGTGAAGAGATACCATGAACAAGGAAACTCTTAGAAAAAAAAAAGCATTTAACTGGGGGCTTGCTTAACAGTTTCAGAGGGTTGGTCCATGACCATCATGGTATGAGTAGACAGGTATGGTACCAGAGCAGTAGCTGAGGTTGATCATCCTGATCTACAGACACTGGGCCTGGCATACATGGGCTTTTGAAACCTCAAAGCCTACTCCCAGTGATGTGCCTCCTCCAAAGGGCCACACCTACTACAACAAGACCACAGTTCCTAATCTTCCCCAAAGTGTTCCACTAACTGGTAACTAAGCATTCAAATACATGAGCCTATGGGGGCCATTGTCATTCAAACCACCACAAGCAGGATGACCATTTTAACAGTATTCATTCTGCTGATTCATGAACTGGGAGGTCTTTTCATCTTCTAGTGACTTCCTTGTTTTCTTCCTTCACTGTATTAAAACTCTTATTATAGAAGTCCTTTGTTTCCTTAGTTATATTTATTTCCAGGTATTTTAAATTTTTATGATTATTGTGAATGGAATTGTTTTTTCTGATTTCTTTTTAGTATGATATATATACATCTATATCTATCTATATCTATCTATATCTATCTATCTATTACATGTATCATACATATGTGTGTGCACATGTGTGTGTGTATACATGAAGGCTACTGATTTCCCTGTGTTAATTCTGCATCCTGCCACTTTGATGAAAGTATTTATCAGCCTATTTTTTTTGTGGGCATCTTTAAGGTCTCTTACGTTTAGAATCATGTCATCTGCAGATAGGAATACTTTGACTTCCTCTTTTCCTATCTGTATACCCTTTATTTCTTTTCTTGTCTTATTGTTCTAGCTAAGACTTCAAGCACCAGACTAATCTATATAGATATCCAATTGTGTGGTGATTTGTAGACCTACTTGTCTTCACTTTCCAGTGTGGTACTCCTTTTTCAGAAGTTGTCTTTACTCAGGTACAGTTTACACATGATTAATTACACAGAGTACTTTTTGGTATCTACTTTTA